TGATATTGTATAATTATTGTATAATTATTATGAAATTTTATATATATATATAATTTATATATATATTATATATATTATATATTTGAAATTTTTTATATTATATTATATATATTATATATATTATATAGTTGAAATTTTTTATATTATATTATATATATTATATATATATATATAATTATATATATATCGAAATTATTTTATTAACAGAATATTATACGATTATTATTATATTATTATCTAATATATAATATTATGTCATACTATATTGTATATAAAAATTCGTTTGTAAGTTAATAAAATAATAACTTTCTGCAAAATTGTAACAGTTTCATTATTTAATGCCCGAGTATTAATGTAAGTCATCATATTTCTCGAAATTTGTTTACATCTTTTTTTTTTCCTCGTTTCATTTCCTTCCAAATTCTCTTGCGAGTCGGGCCTCGTATCTAGAATACAAATTGTCCTCGTAATTAATTCCACGCATTTTAATTTTCCCTCTGCTTTTCCAGAGCTGGAACTCGGTACACAATGCGTCGTCGAAATGTCCGGACAGCAAACCATCTTACAACATCCCACCACGATGGACAAGATCGAGCGGTGAGTGATCTTTTCAGAAATTTCAGTCCTCAATGTTGCGTGGTTGTTACAAAAGACCAACAGGAGTATTCTCGACGATGTTCAGATTGTCCAGATTCTTATTATTGTTGAGATTTTTCTCAGTAGTTTCACTAGATCGATATTCAAGTCTCGTTAGATCAATAGATTTATAGATCAATATTTTTGATTCATATTATCAATTATATCATATTTGTCATTATGTATATGATATTAAAGATGAATCTGAGAATGATTTATTTTATTGAAATTTTTCGAGGGAAATTCATTCTCGAGAAATTTTATCAATCTTTCATCCAGATTCTTATTGTTGAAATTTTTCTCACCATCACTGGGATCGGTAGTTTCATTAAATACATCAGTATTTTTGATTCATGCTGGCAATTGAGAGATTAATCTGTAAACGATTTATTTCATTCAAGTTTTCTCGATCTTCGTTAGAACGATTAAATAATTATTAAGTGCAATTTTTAATAAAATTAAGGATATCTTTAATCAATTCTATTCGTTAAATTCTATTAATCGAAATCGTCGAATTTTTCGACCTGTCGAGAAAATTGTGTGCCTCGCGAGCCTTTCAATTTCTTTTTTTTTTTTTTTTTTCTCGCAACTCTCGACGGTAGTAATTTAATCTTTCGTTTAAAGTTTCGCGATCCGTCGGATCCACGTCGTTCGGTCGAGCTTCTCGACGATAAGATAGCGGGTGTCTCATGAAAGTCGAATGAGATACGTTCGAAAGTTTTTATCTTTTAAGTAATCGAGCTGAGAAGAAAAGAAAAGGTTCTTCCTTTTCTCGTCTGCTAAACGCGTGAAATTCGAAAATTTATTACGCTGAAAAACACACACACACA